TAATGTTCGAACGAAATCCCCTTATATTGCAGAAATTCACGGATAGCGTGGCAAAGGTCTCTTTTGTCTTATTGCTCTAATTGCCTCAAATAATTTTAGTCTTCGCGGAATTTCGCACCCCACCCTTGGATACGCGGGGCAGCCTGAGCACCCACACTCAGGAAGAGTTGGATAGCTTGGGCGTGGGTGCTCAGCCAGAGATTCTCTTATTCCAGAGGTGCGTGTACCCTCCTGGGGTAGTTCCTTATTTAATTACACTACCACGTTAAGGGGTTAGGTCTCTGACCATCTTCATTTACCAGGCAAAGTAAACTTCTAATTCACGCTGGTTATCCGTGAGGTCGTGGTACCACCCATTCATTACAACTCTTTATTTCATGTCTTTCATGTCATCTAGTCCGGCCCATCCGTGCGATAGCACCGTTATGTTGTCTGCATATATTTATATTATAACTGTAATTTACTTCGTCATTGTTTATGCGTAACACTTAATACTTAGTAGTAAAAAACTTTGCTTTATTATGCCCTGCAGTGGATGATAAGGAGCTGATGATGAATTAGTTTTGCACCTTTAAAGAATTTATTTTAGTTTAAATAGCGCCCCAATTTAATTTTTGCCCCGGGGCCCTTGGTTACATAGCTACGCCACTGAACGAACTAAGTAATGTGTCAGTTGAATATCTATTTAGCACTAACCTAACCATTATAAACACAGGTTCTGAACCAATTTTCATAAATAAATGTTCTCGCACTATAATCGACCTCACACTTTGCAACAGAAGGAGCAGCTAAATTAATAACGGGATGGCATGTGTCAAAAGAGGTCTCATGCTCGGTACCATAAATGGGTCTGCTGCGTACTACAGGTCGATATCTCCGCTACACCACCATGGAGAAATTCCCGCAAAACGGACAAAACCAAAATACCTTAATATGCTGACGTCTTCGCTTGCGGGTTTCGAAGGGACAAATACCATAGCAGATCAACCGCTCCTAGAAGAACCGGTAGCAGCTTTTACTAAAGCCATGATGGATAGCTACCATGAATCATGTCCAGAAATCACTCCACCAAAACATGCTGAAGCAAAGCAACAGTGGTGGGGTAAAGAAATAGATACGAAACGTAAGAAGGTAAGAAAAGCCCCAAATGGGGCCACGAATACCTCAATGCATGAACACTGGCTACTATACAAGAAAGCTAAGTCCGAATACAAAAAATGTGTATCGACGCTCGACAGGGTGACGTAAATTCTGTGGTAACATATAAACTTGCGAACAAGCGAGTTGGATAAGGTAAATCCTATCTAAAGAGAACACGCCAGGATCCATCTCTCTAAAGAGACCCTACGGAAGCTACTCAACATAGCTGGATGAAACCCAACGCATCCTAATTGGAACTCACTTCCCAGGTTGCTGTGTAGTTGAAAGGGTAAACCGACATGAAGTTTGACACTGACACCAACAAAAGACGACTGGAATTTAGCACAGAGAGTGGTGACGATGGATTAAATCCATTGGGCCATTCATAATTTCCTCTCCTATAAGGCTTCAGGAACTGACGTCATATTCGCGGCACTCCTACAGTGGGGGATAAAGCCCTAATAGTCATTATGTTGTAGTTGCCATAATGAGAGCATGTCTGGCTCTCAAATACGTTCCTAGGGGATGGAGGGAATTGAAAGACGTTCGTACCCAAACCAGGTAAGAGCGACTATACAGACCCTAAATCCTCCAGATCCATTAGCATCACATCCTTCCTAGACGATGGAGAGGATGTGTGAAAGGAAATTACTGACTGACCCCATGTCGGCGCTAATTAACTTATCGCTACACGACAAACAACACGCCTACAGCTTAGGTAAATCGGCAGAATCGGCACTTCACCATGTAATAAAAAGAGGAGGTCATCCAAAACAAAGTAATATGACTGGGTTCCTTCATAGACCTAAATGATGCTTTAGATAGAACGAAATTCTCCAGCATAAAAGATGCATTAAATAGACAAAGTTGAACCGCCGCTGATTGACTGGATAGTAAACATGCTCCGTATACGAACAATAAAAATTGCTGGTGAATCTCAACCCATTCAGATCAAAAAAAGCTTCCCGCAGGGTGGGGTTCTTTCACCTATCCTGTGGAATACGGTCATTAATGAACTCATCAGCAAATTAAATGTCAATCATTTATACACAGTAAGTTATGCAGATGACCTGGCAACACTGGTCTCTGGAAAGATAGCAAGCATGGTGTGCAACCTGACCTAAGCGGCTCTCCGTGTAGTGGAGAGATGGTGCAGGGAATTTGATGTACCGTTAATACAAATAAAATGGTCCTAGCAATGTTCACACAAAAACGAATGCTGAATAACTATCATCTTCTAAGTCTTTTCAGCACAAAACTCCAGCTATCCACTGAGGTAAAATACATTGGTTTTACCTTGGACTGTAAACTCAACTGGAATAAACACATAGAAAACAAAATCAACAAAGCTTGTATAACTTTCTGGCAATGCATAAACATGATTGGCAAACAATGGGGTCAAAAGAGCTTAGTGTTTTCACAGATGTTTCAAAAATAAATGAAGGTGTAGGATCTAGAAATTTCTATAAGGACCTCAATATATACATATGTACACTGCTGGGGACCTATAACACAGTCTTTCAGACGGAATGTATGGGTATCATCCAAGCGGCCATAGCAATAGTAGCTAGAAAGGTAAGAACTCCATCAGAATACTGACCAGTATGGCAGTACTACAAGCTCTCAGTTGCAATGTGGTGAACTCGGGCCTAATATATGAATGATATCAACGATTGAATGAGATATATAAACAGAACAATGTGACTCTGCAATGGATTAATGGACACAGTGGATCCAGAGGCCACAACAACGCAGCAGACAAACTGGCCAGAAGAGGATCGTCCGGAACCAATAATACCAATCCCCTTTGATAATGCTCATTCACTGGTACCTAGAAACTTCACTAATCTACACGCTCAGCTTTGGAAAAATCTACCAGACTGTAGACAAGCTAGGAAGGCCCTGCCTGAAATAAGTAAGTCGTTAAACCAAGGTTCTAATGAGACTGAACAAGCCACAGATCTATAACAGGACATGGCTCCTTTAACAAAAATTTATTTACCATAGGTACTACAGAGGAAGAAATGGCAGCCGACATATTGCTGACATGTCAGTAGGTCACTGCATACAGGGCTAAACATCTCGGAACACCAGGATCACTCCCCAGTTGCTAGCAACATCAAAGGACTGTTGAACTTCTACGTGGTGATTTCATGACTTGAATAATCATGTTATTCCTGCCCACATGCAAAATACATGCTTAGACGTCAAGTTATAGAAAACAGCCCATCGTAAACTAAACTAAACCAAAAAGAACTGTAGGTATACTTAGTGACTGAAATTCCAAATACATGTATTGTTGTCAAAGTGGGTCAAAAGTACTAATAACTTTCTTCCCATGCATGCATATCATAATGCTGCGGCTACACTAACGAACAACGTCAATGCCCACACATGCAACAATTATTGCCTTAAATTTAACGCGAAAAAATGAGTGGTTACACTTGAACGGCCAATGTCGTTTCTATTTCTTCGGCAAATTTAATGAACGGAATTAAATATTTTTATTAAATGTTCCTTGAATTTCAAGCAAGATGGACGTTGACGCAGCTACTCTATATTTGATGAGTGTAAATTTTTATTATATGAATATATTTTATTACTGCCAAACTTTTCGTGGCAGAGCCATGCTGCAGTTATATTAGTAGTACAGTTGTAGCACGAATGGATTGGCTCGACCGGGGAAGGACCACGCTCTCACGGAATACCAGCGTAACATAGTAGCTTAATGCAATGCTGCTGTGTTTCCTATGGTGAGTGTAGAGAACCGGAGTCCCTTTTTACTGGAAATGAGACATTCCATCCTAGTCCTCACGGGTGACAACGCATCTGCATTTTGATTCGTAATCGAGGATAGATGTTAGATGTCTATGGGCCACAGCATCCACATACCATCAGGTGGACTGTGTGCTTGTTTGTCACCCTATCCTATAAAATAAAAAAATAAACGAAGAAAAAAGAATACAAAGAAAAAGAAGATTGTCGATGCTTCAAATGCATAGGAAACGTACACTGTAAATCTATTTATGTTTATTAATTTAAATTCTATTTTGTTTTCCCGCACCCAAATTGCACTAGAAAGACGTCCAATGGTTTAATCTAAATAATAAGACAAACTTAAATATATTTTAATGAAATAATAACTAATAAACCAATCATAAATACTGGTCAAGTGCAAATTAGATACACGTACCCAGGGTTTCGTACCACTGTACATTATGAATTTGGACCTGCAAAAATTGTTTTTTTTTTCTCCTGCTTATTTTTCTTATTTTCATACCGTAAATTAAAGTGTACTTTTAAGCAATTTTTTAAATTCAATCTCGAGAAACTTTTTCATTACTCCACTCCATCACAGCCATACATGCGACCCCGTTGCACACAATGAGACAAAGCGTAGTGTGGCTGCTTCAACACTTTAATTCGTGCAATAATCCTTTGATGTACCGCCACTGGAGTTATCGCCAAATGGGAAACAGCATTGTTAATGCCGTTGTCAAATTATCGCGTTAATTCGTGGCCACACCTACATTCAATGTCCATCAATTGGATAATTAACAGCATTTCTCCTTAGTGTGGCCGGGCCATAAAAGTGAATATTGTCACTAGTATGGACTACGTAGAACAATATATCAGACTTAATATTATTTATATAACAGAGGTTCACAAATAAATAAAAACTATTTGAAAATAAATAATTTATTATGTGTGTAAGAATATCACATAAGCTTGCAAAGCTTTGCAAATATTTTCGTTTTTGAATAATCAAATTTTTTAGGCATTTTACTTAAAGCACAGCACAGTTACATAATAATTACTGTAATGACTTAGTCAAAGAGGCTAAATAAGATCTTTTTATTTTAATTGGATTCGGTTAAGGCAACTACAGTGAAGCGAACTTCATTTGGATCACGGGCAATAAACTTCTTGCAAACAGCTGCTGCATCTTCCAATAAATTATCAGGTGTAGTTGGCCCGTGATTTATAGGAAATGCTTTACGACCATCTAACTCATATAAAGCTCCATCTTTGTGGACAAAAGTAATAAAATGATGATTAACAGGATCATCAGCACTGGGAGTATTGGTTTGACCTTCTTGGGCCAATTCTTTATGAGCATTAATAATACCCTCTGACTTTTCAAGCAAAGTGCCACGAGCAGCAGCATCTAACTCTTTAGCTTCATCTAAGAACTTCTTTAAATGACCTTCAGTCAGTTGAATTTTGTCAGTATTGTTTGCAATACTGTGCACTAGAGCGACAGTGCCACAGGCATTGCTGATATTCTGTTTCATATAAAAAATATTACTGGTAATTTCTTGTCCTTTGGACAAAATTTCATTTTCTTCTTTTTTGCTTATACTCTTCGTATGCATTAGAAACGGGAAAAAGCAACATAACTGAGAGAACAGGGCGTGGAACCCATGACAACATTTCAGACTCTAAGCCCATAACATCGACGATATTCCATTTGCTGGGGACACCCAATTTTTGAAGAAATTTATTCATAACTTCAGGGTTAGATTCAAGAGGAATTAAAGTTTCAGTCGCCATTTCTATCTGTAAATGAATTCATAATTCATAACGATAAGGTTACCGGTATCTAACTTTAATAGCCGTAACAAAAGAAATGCATGTAATACTTACATAAATTCGATGAAATCCTTAAAAAAATAGACTCCCGATGCTTACTCAAAGACAGAACGAAAAATCTGGAAAATCGATATTTAACTTATTAAAATATTATGGTGAAAATTAAGAGAACCGGCTTTCGAAACATCAATTTTCTTTTTATTAAGATTTTTGGTTTGGATGCTTGTTCTTTAAGCCATGCCTTCATTTTATTTTATTTTTTTTGCGCCCAGAACATGGAGGTTAGAGAGAAGGAGAACGATTGATACGTTCTAAAGCCAAAAATATTATAATACTTCGTATAGTTAAAATAAAATATCTTTGGCTACAGCATAGCTCGCCTGTCCCTGAAATCATAGATAAATAAATATGTAGCAAGCTCCTGAAATGCCGTTGGTAAGTAGTATCTGTGAAGTTAGCTGTTTATGAGTACAAGTAGATGAAGTTAGTTGTGGTGAGAAAATAATAGTGCTCCGTAAAAAGAAACATTAAAAAATGGTGAAATATTGTATTGTGCATGTATGTGCAAGTGGTATAGAATCTGATAGGAAAAATAGACTGAAAATGATTTTTATCGAGACAACTTAGCAATCGCACCGCTTCACTTATTTTGCCCACATTTCAGGGACACTATTTTCTACAGCGATCGTTCTCCTTCTCTCTAACCTCCATGGCCCAGAAGCAAAGATAGGGCTACCCTACGAGAAGCGGGGGAGGGAGGTGGTAAATGCTCTAAGCATACCACGCAGGCGGCTGCGTGGTAATGTGGGACTCACCGAGAAACCTCAGTGCCTTACCCACTAAACACAACCTGTGAGACTGTCTTTAACATGGTGAGATCTTTTAGCCGTATCGAAAGCGACCTCCATTGGAGGAAGGGGGTCGCAATTCATTTTATTCGAGATCTTCGCTTTTATAGTCATTGTGAAGTTTTTGAGGGTTGCTATAGTCGTACGGTACTTGATTTTAATATTTTTTTTACACTTGTTTTTGATTTTCGGAAATGACTTTTGAATTAATTATAATAAAAATAAATATCACTAAAAATAGCATAAAAAGAAACGCAAATACGTCTATTTGCTTTTTTTTTAACAAGGATACACCCATAAATATAAAAAGTTAAACAGACAATTCATTTGTGGCTGAAGAAGGGACTCATATACAACAAATTGAGCCGCAGTGCAGAGCAGTCAAGAGGTTTTTCAGAAAACAAAATTATAACAATTCATATTATACTGATTCATTTACCGCTATCATAGCAGAATTTAGGGCAAGCTGACTTTATAAATTCGATTCGTCGAATCTGTTCTAAAACCGAATCAGCAGACCCTGACTCCACGTAGTCTTCTCTGCCCTACCCCTACAGTGTTTTGGATTATAAGGCTATCTTCATATATGTGCCATTTAAATCCTTTTGAATCAGCCTGGGCCACCATGAAACGCTTCGTAAGGGAACACAACACACTGTTTTCTACAGCGATCGTTATGAAACGTTGGTAATATAACAAGGAATGCACTTTCGATAGTTACGGCAGAAAACTTTACAAATTTTGAAATACATTTCAAACAATAATTCAGAAAGTCGAGAATGAATACTGGGTAGAGGATACAGGAATGAGAAAATGTAATGAAAGATTTTAAGATAGAAGTCGGAGAAACTAATGACGAAGAGTCACTAAGTGCTTGTTGCGTAGCGTACTACGAGTTCAATTGATATTGATTGTGATTAATAAAATATTATTATATATTGCTACTATAGGGCCATATTCAGCTGACGAAATACCTATTCAGTTCCATGTCAATTATACTCACGCACTACCAAAACCACTTTTACAAAATTCGCAAATGAATAGTTTAGACCCATGCACTGAAGAAGAAATCCTTAATATTATTAACAAACTTGATTCAAACAGTAGTGTCAATCTAGATGGTATTAGTACAAAGGTTATCAAGTGTGTGAAGGACTTAATAATAAATTCATTAACGAAAAACTTTAACAAACTTTTACAAAATGGATCTTTTCCAGACTCAATTAATATAGCCCAAATAGGTGTTCTATTTGAGCCGTTCTCAGGTGGCTTGCTCGTGACGCGACGGAGTTCCACTATTTTTTTTAAAGTGATATCTTCTTCAAATTTACAGCATTAATAGAGTATTTAATAAACCTTACAGAAAATACAATTACTTAGTTGTTTATGGCGTAATGAATCATGTAAATAAGATTTTAACAGGACAAACGTACATTTTTTTCCCTTAGCATTACGAACTTCACTTGTGATTAAAAAAAAATCAATGGCATAATCATTTGTTTTTTAATTATTACAAAGAAACATTGTTTGGCTTTTATTTAAAAATAAAACAATAAAAATCAGTGCACAAAAACTAAGATAATTTCAGTAAAATATATCCTAAGCGTCACTTCTTGTTCATTTCACGTGTTTTTATTTCAGTATTTACGAATCTATACACAGTGATAAAGAATCTTCGTATGAAAAAATAAGTAAAATTTTACTGTTTTAGATGTAAATAATTTAATATGTTTGTATTTTTTTTTATAGAAGAGGGGGCAAACGAGCATGTGGCTCACCTGATGTTAAGTGACTACCGCCGCCCATGATCAACCGCAACACCAGGGGAATTGCAGGTGCGTTGCCGGCCCTTTAGAAAGGAGTAAGCTCTTTTCTTGAAGGTCCCCAGGTCGTATCGGTCCGGAAAAATCACCGGTGGTAAATTATTCCACAGAGAGGTTGTACGCGAAAGAAAACTCCTTGTGAAACGTACAGTGGTGGACCGCCAAGCATCCAGATGGTGTGGATGGTATCGGGACGTTTGCCGTGTAGTGCGTTCACGAAATTTGGCGGCTGGGATTAATCCGAACAATTCCTCAGAGCACTCCCCGTGATACATGCGATAAAATACGCAAAGAGATGCAACATCTCTTCGCAGTGCCAGTGAATCGAGCCGATCGGAAAGCACTCGGTCGTCGACGATTCTAGCCGCTCTGCGCTGGATGCGGTCAAGTGGAAGGAGCTGGTACTGGGGAGCCCCAGCCCAGAGATGGGAACAGTATTCCATGTGCGGCCGAACCTGCGCCTTGTAAAGTTGCAGGCGGTGTGCCGACATGAAATACTGTCCCGCTCTGCTGAGCACGCCAAGCTTTTTAGAGGCCAATTTGGCCTTCCCTTCCAAGTGACCACGAAACAGCACGTCACTCGATATGTCGACGCCAAGGATTCCGATACTGGCTGAGGCAACAAGGGGAGTGCCTTGAAACTGAGGGGATACGACAAAGGGGTTCTTTTTAGCGGTTAACGCGCAAACTTGTGTCTTCTGGGGGTTAAACTGGACTAGATTTAGTCGCCCCCAATCCGAGACTCTGTCCAGCAGAGACTCGACTTCAGACACAAGTTTGTCCCGGCACTCAGAGACGTTTTCCCGAGAAATATTGGCTCGGCCGGTGTACAGAGCATCACCAGTGCTGTCATCTGCATAGCAATGAATGCTACGTTTGCAACATATCATTGATATGCAGAAGAAACAGCGTTGGCGATAGCACGCAGCCCTGTGGAACACCAGCATTAATAAGCTTGCAATCGGAGCTTGCACCGTCTACAACGACCTTGATGCTCCGATCTGCGAGAAAACTGGTGATCCAATCACACAATTTCTCGGGAAGCCCATAGGAAGGGAGCTTCGAAAGAAGCGCTTTGTGCCAAACCCGATCAAAGGCCTTCGCAATGTCCAAACTAACGGCCAAAGCCTCCTCCTTGGACTCTACTGCCTCCGCCCATCTGTGAGTTAGGTAGACCAGAAGATCACCAGCTGACCTACCACGGCGAAAACCGTATTGGCGGTCACTAATCAGCTGGTGATCCTCAAGGTACCTCATGAGCTGGCAGTTTACAATAGACTCCATTGTTTTGGAGAACAAGGAGGTGATGGCGATAGGCCGGTAGTTGGACGGGTCTGAGCGGTCGCCTTTTTTAGGGATCGGGTGGACGAAAGCCGTCTTCCATGATTTTGGGACTACGCCTAGGGAGTAGGAGTACCGGAAAAGACGCGTTAAAACCGGTGCCAACTCTGGAGCACACGTCCTCAGCACAATTGGGGGGATTCCATCAGGCCCACTCGACTTATGGATGTCCAGGGAGAGGAGTGCTTTGCGAACCGAGCGCTGAGTGAACTGCACTTCCGGCATGGAGCACTCACACCGCGGGATGGTCGGCGGCGTACTCCCCCCGTCATCGAGAGTCGAGTTAGACGCAAAGAAAGAGCCTAGAAGGATCGGCTTTCTCCTTTGCGGTGTGGGCCAGTGAGTCGTCCTCCCTGTGCAGAGATGGAAGAGATGGCTGACAGAAATTCCCCTGGACAGCCTTGGCGAGAGACCAGAATGCACGGGTTCCAGAAGGAAGACGAACTAGTCTCTCGCCAATTCTGCCTATGTGCTCTGACTTTGCCTTGGCAATGACTCTTTTGAAGGACCTAGAGGCGGAATTATACTTCTTTTTTAGAGCGCTGGTGTTTACATCCCTGGACGCTGATGCGTCAGCCCAGGCTCATTGTTCTTCTTTAAATGATTAAAGTATTTATCCTTCTTTAAAAATGGGACAGTGAGGCTATTGGAACTTGATGTGACGCTAAAGAAAAGTAAAGTTAGGCTTACATTTCAGATTAATTGAAAAACATTTTAAATACTTAATCTTAGTTAGCTTGTAACAAATATTGTGCCGTTAACAAATCTTATAAAACAAATAATTTGGTGCTAAGCACCGAACACACGTTCTTTGGTAGATATTGACAATGTAAGGAACTATTTATTTTTATTCACTAAAGTCTTTATTCAAAAGTTTGTTTCAATATTTCCTTCTTAACTTATTCTTATTAAATTTTTTGCATTCACAATGCAATTTTTATTATTGAAAATGAATTATTTGAAAAAGTCGACCCGTCGCACAACTATATGCTTAAATAATAGGGCAGAAAATATTAATTACGGAGTGGACTACAAAGAGATTACTTACAATTTCATATTTATTTAAGAGCTATAATATTCTTTTCAATTTCTGCGCCAGTGTGCAGACTGCACACTTGCATGACATACTGAAAAATGTTTACTGAATTTCAACGTGTTTGTTTGCACCGATGCGCGACGTTTAAGCCAGTGCCAACTGGCCGAAACGTCGATGCAAACTAAGATAAAACGCAGACTGCGCCCTCTTATAAGCCAAATAAATGGTAAATAGTTAATTTTGAGCCAACTAATCATTATCTAATTATATATAATGGTTCTCCAAAAGAGTACCTACCCGAGAATCACTTGTGTCGCTATTATGATTCGAACCTTAAAAATTTATTTACGCCTCAGCGCGCCTAAGAGGGAAATTAAATATGATGAGTATTTACCAAATCAGTTGCTGCACAATCTTCAACAAATCACACTAAAATACAGTTATACATAATCAGAAGTGCACAAAAAATGCACAAATCGTATCAATCGTCATGCCACGAAACTAATGTTTGGTAGCGAAACGTTAAACTAATTAGTTTTACATTAAACAAATATACTTATTGCGAGTAATAATTTTCTCTTTACCCTTAAAATAATTACTTATTTGCCCAGACAAGTTGTACAAATGTAATCAAAAAATGTTGTTTCACTGCAGCTTAAAAAGATCCAATTGTTACACACCATGCATTTTACTATTTCTCCCAAATTGAAATCTTTACGATTTTTACAGGTAAAACAAAGAAATGACCTTAACGATATTTTTCGTAAATTGTTTTCTTTGTTTGAAAGTGTTTGTACTAGTTCAGCTTTTATCGGAAGTCTTTTGGCTGATGATAAATGCTCATTGTATCTGCTGGTTGGTTTTAGTATTCTCATTTTTTTCTTTGACATCACATTATCTACATTTATTGCAGATGATACTTTTTCAGCAATCGGGAATTGTTTGTCTATTGGTATGGCTAGTATTTCTTGGTTCTGCAATAAACCTGTCATTAAAGAAATTTCTGAGGAGTCAAGGAGATCATCACTTAATGTAGGGGGGATTATTGAATTCTGAAAATTCAATAGCATGGTTGAAATCGTCGTGATTACGATACTCGTTACAAAACTGTGGCCCTTCGCAATTGATTGACACAGAATCCTGCTGAAAATCGTCCACCAGGCTATTTAAATTAAATGAGCGCAGCAAATCAGGTTCGTTGGAATCGTCACCAACATCACTCACCATAGGAATTTCGCTCGTAGGACCAGTTTCTGTCACTACAGGTGCAGCAGAATTAACTGAAATACTCTCTCGAATAAAATTGTGTGATTTAGGAGTATAGCAATTACAAAAACCACGTGTTTTTCCACAAAAACAACTTAGTTGCCTTTATCGGATCTAGTTTTTTTGATTAGTGGTAATTTGGTGCAACTGCATTGTTCCAGGTACCGCTACTAAATTATCTGGAACAAGTCTTTTGAAATTCTCAATGTCTTGTTCAGGTATAAAAAACATTTTACTAATGTACCGATCTTTTGTAAAATGTTGTACGCATCATTAGCATTCGTTATGTTTTCTCCATATGAGACTCTTTTGTCTAATGTTCTCTTTATTGAGCCACCTATACCATCGGCTATGTTTTTTCCATGACCCGCTTCTGAAAAGGACCATGTCGAGGACACATGTAACTTAGCAGTAAACAAAGTCAGCAAATAAAAGTTTTTTTTTTTGCCTATACTGACTACTAGGCCCATCTGAAAAAAGTGTATTTTGTTGAACTGTGTTACCATATTTTTGGAATGTCTTAAAACTGGAATTAGATGTGCTCAAATTGCATGCGGTTCGTGGCAACTGTTATCAGACACCGTAGCAA